CCCGCCTTCCCAAATTGCTATCCTTGGACCTTGGCTGCCATGGAGGCCAATGACAAACGGCCCTGACGACGACATACGATCATAATCTGTCATGCATTCGGCCCCGAAGCGATAATCCCGACAGTGGAACGCTTCAAGCAGCTACGCATCCGTGTGACCCTCCAAACCTAATTGGAAAGCGCTTGCCTGCGCTTGCCTGCGCTTGCCTGCGCCGTCCGCGAGACCTCGCCCATGATAGGCAATTGGGTAGCACGGGCTGGAGCACCGGTGTCCTTGGTGTTTTCCGCGGATATAAGACGACGCGGGTAACGGTAGCAAGTGGGTGGAGGAAGTAGGTGACTGTTGCCTCGGGGCGTGAGAGCATGATGATGAAGCGACAGGGTCAGAACTTGGAAAACCTGTGGCTGGTCCACTGTGGCTAGACTCCATGCGATCGAGTCTCGATCCACCTCCGATGGCGCCGATAGGGAGGAAACGGAAACACCGCACAATCTTCATCGGATCCCGTTCGATCTGGTTTTGAACTTCCAGTCCCTCTATCGTCAAAACAAGGTGCGCCGTCGGTCTTGTCTCTAGTGAAAACACGATAAGAGCTTGGAGAGCGTGTAGGTGGTGCAAACGGACCCCAGCAGGCGGGCATGTCGGAGACTACACCTGTCAGACGAAAGAGTTAGCGAGCTATAGCAGGGGAAAGGGTTGCGAACGGACCGACATTGACGGGGAAAATTAGAAGACGACGCGTGGGATGAATCCTCTAGGCTTTCCTCGAGTTGCACTACTTCGGGGCTGTTTAGCCATATCCGGAGGCAGTTGTGTAGTGCGTACTGGATGGCGAAGTCGTTATCATGTTCCTTGTGTAGAACAGTGTCGCCCCCTCTGAGACACGCCGCGATAGGATTAACAGATGGGTTTTCGGCGTGCACAGAGTATACATTTCGCAGGATGGTGTGGATGAGGATGAAGTGCGTAAATGGGTTGGGTGCTATGGAGACTGTTGAGAGGCGAGTTCGCCGACAGCAACTAAGGTTTGTTTCACGGGGAAATCCAGATTCACGACATTCCCTTTTCACAGGGTGACGGCGCTTGTAATTTGCAGGGAAAGTTACAGAACGCCGTGTACCTTTGTGAGCTCGAGGGAGGGCTTCTTCGGGTAGCGGAGCGGAAGCGTCCTGAAGGCTGAAGCCTTGAATATGGTGAGCATGCGGGAGAGCCGTTCGTTGCGAAGAACTAGCGCAGGGTGGGGAGTTCGACATACCTTGAATGGCTATGAACTCGATGCTCGAACTTGAGCGACAATGAAGTTTTTTGGTGGCGGCAAGGCCTTGGTATACCTAGACATAGGTTGTCTTCTTAGCGCGCACATCAGTATCGAAAAATGCGTGCTCACCAAGGTGCGCACTGCTAAGAGAAATGCAATCTATGACTCCCTCGTCCAATGCTTCAGTGCAGAGAGCAGACCATTCGTCCACTGGTGATCGGATATCAGCACCGAATTCAGACGGTTTGTTGAACCTGTCACCACGGCTCAGCTTCTGCGATGATGACGGAGGTCGTCGCGCTCGTTGTCGGGGTCAACGTAGAACCGTAAGTTTTAGCTCTTTCTCAGTGCGCTTCTGAGCCTGACGTTTGTTCATTTTGGCGATGGCGTAGCACTTGATTAGCTGCGAGACGATATCGACCAGATGGCCGGATGTATTAACAGACGAGAATGAATTCTGATAGAATCTAATCCTCGTAGATGATATTTCGCCTCGGATTAGGCACGGGGCGTGGATTGGAAGTTTGATATCCATGGATCGTACAAAGTGCAAAGTATTCGATATAGCAAAGCGAGGTAATGATGAGCGATAGCAACGACACGATTGCGTGTGGAACGAGGATCTATCGCAAAGGCTCAGTGGCTTGCGAACAGCGCAAAAACAAAAAAAACTTACATAAGAAGAGTGGCACGTCGCAGTCCTAGTCTTCGCTGTAGTGCTCCGGCAGATGGGCATCAACATACCAATCTGGTTCCCTTCCACCCATGATGCTCTTCAGTTTCTCCAACTGCGGCTTGCTGGGCCTGTTGATAAAAGAACTCCTCATCGAGCTGCACACCGACACGAGCACCGGCCAACAGCCGTTCGAGTCCAAGTCGTCGCCACCGCGCTCGAGGTAATCTTGAGGCAGGACCCGCTCAATCCGAAGACCCTTGATTCCCGACGATGAGGCCAACAGCTTCCTAGCGAGATAGATTTTAGTGAAGTTCGTGTTGCCGGGTTGGTAGTTCCTGACGCGATGGCTGTTCTGCTCGCAGTAGGTGATGAGCCAGTCTCGGGAAACCGTAAAGCCGTAGAATACGCGATGATTCTTAAACTCTTGTGGACGCCTGGGGACTGGAGGGACAATTTGATCTGGAATTGCCGGGTTGTCGGTATTGGGGGGGAGGTGGGATGGTGTGTTGGACAGCTGGGAGCAAAATGAGTGAACTTGAAGCAGAAACGGTAGAAAGAGAAACTTTTTACGCTCATGGTATCCATAGACTGTCCGAGAGACAACATCGGAGGAGGAGGACGGGAAAGGAGGAACTGAGAAAGACCGTGTGAAAGCGGGAATCTCTTTGCCTCGAGGTCCGTGACTCTGACTTGTCTGATAGTAGTAGGATCATATTTTCTGGCTCGTTTCGTACTCCTCTCCGATATATATGACAGACTGAGATTCGCGGACGATGAAGCATTGCGACAAGATTTCCTCAACACTTGTTTTCATATGCAACCGCCGCACACAATATGAAACCGCCAAGTGATCATTATTCAAGATTAGGCACGCGTTAATTGTACACCTTGGCACTCAAACGACGCGAAAGCATAGGGAGGATCGTAAAATTCATGCTATTTCAGAAAGGATACAAAAGGTATGTTATGAGTTTCGTGTTCTAAAACTACAGATGCTGTTTTGTGAGTGGTGTTCGTGAATTCGTGAAGAGGGAGGGTAAGGCGTGGCAGACATCAACACTGGCCGCAGTGACAGCAGAAGTTGATCGGGGCTCCCACGTGTCAATAGGGCCACTGCTCTTGTTCCTTCAACTTCCCGGACCTCCACTAGGTAATATTGCTCGAATCCCTCACTGAGCAAGCTCGCGCGTCGACCATGACTAAAGGACAGCCCATGACCATCCGATTCATTATCCTACGTCTATGCTCATGCTAGCGATCGCCTTAAAGCCGTGAGGTGCGTTGAACGAGACCTGTCACCTTATTGCCTTTACTCAAGGATTGATAGAGTGAATTCTTGAAAGTCCCCCAGGCTTCGACACGGTAGATGTCGCTGGCCGAAGACTTCTATAGTGAGAGTTTCCTATAGTCTATAGTGAGAGTTTCCCAACGGGAGCTGTGAGCGGTGCTGATTCTTGAGTTGCGAGTGCGACTTCTTGGTATGTAGTCCGTTTTGTTCCTCGCAACGTCCTCGCTAATCTATTTTTCGCAGCTTTCCCTGTGAATCAAGGAATAGCAAGTTACGTCGGCAATCAGTAAATCTGGACATAATGGAGAGTAGAGTGTTCGTATCTGGCAACGAGCGCGTCGTGAGGTATGCGGGCTTCGAGGAGGATTCGTGATTGTTGTTGGTGCGCATTCTGATTTTCTCTTGGAAGTGTCGTCACTGACGGATCTTCTCGTAGCTCTCTGACGGTCCTCGTCATCACGAGTCCCCATGCGCCTTCACGACTCCGAATCCAGATTATAGTTCTGTTCTTTTGAGTGTGAATCCGTTAGCAGGGAGTGATGAGACAGAATCCGCCTTATACGTCGGAAGTGGTGCTGTTTGGCGGACGATGGGATGGATTTCTTCTGCGCCTGCACTATCACGAGCAAAAGTTGAAACGATCATCAGGCCATGAGTGGCATAGCATTCGCAAATCCCAGATACTTAGACACCCGCCCGTGGACAAGCAGAGAAATACTCCCGCACCAGCCCCATACGCCTCACGTCCCCATCATCCTCCGGCGCCAAACTTATCCCCAACTTCCTCCTCGCCTTCTCCATCTCTCGTAGCCCAGCTCACGAGGACCCACCACCCTACCCGTCCGGGTGGCCGAATGAACTGAATCCAGAGTCGAATATCCTAGAGCTCTCGAGTCTGGCGTCGAGCGGAGGCGGCGATGTTCGTCATCTCCTGCTATATGTTCTTGTTCCTGACGGATTGGACATGGATGTCGGGGTACTCCAAGCGAAGCCTTGGAGAGCCATAGGTGAACAATTGGCGGGCGATCCGCCGTACACTTCGCCCAGCCCAAGTTATCCTCCCGTTTCGTCCAAACGTCTCCACCATCCATCGTACTTGCGTCTCCTCGAATACGGACAGTATCCCTGGCGCCGCAGAACCGTCGCGCGCCAAGACCGCGCCCTACCCCATCTCGCGACGCGCGACCAGTCTCCGTCCTATCCCCCAATACGACACCGTATGCCGGTCCGCTTCAGCCCAATTATATCTCAAGTAGCAAAAATGAGCGGCCTACGTGGATCTCGTGTTTTAGACTCTTCCACAGCATGGACCGCACTGCGCAGTGCAGTTTCGTGGAATGGACAATGGGATGATCATCGCCGATGAGTTAGATTTATGAGGACCTAGTGAAGGCCCAGTGTGCGAGCGCCGGTAACTGTAATTTGGAAGGAGGCTACAGCGAGTTGACAACGGAGACGGTTGGACTCGACAGAGCCTTTATGTGCTGATTGTGCGGTGTTGGCATAGGCTGTTCTGAGTGTGGCTAGGAGGGAAGTGAAAGATGATTGAGCGGGATACAAGAGGCCCATACGCGGAATTGTTGAGTTGTATCAGGGTACTTGGAAGGATTTCAAGACTAGATAATTGGCATACGGGAAGCTTGATGTGTGTACCGTAACAGCATACGGACCTCTAATGATCCAACCAAGGAGGCGCATCATGCATGGAGTCGTTGCCTTTTGCACGTTGGCCAGGCTGGCAGGGTGGGATGTGACGAAAAAAGAAACAAAGTTGTTAATTCCGGTACGGGGAGTCGAACCCCGAGCTGCCGCGTTACACGTGGCAAATCGTACATGAAAGGCGGCAATGTTAGCCGTTACACCATACCGGATGACAAAAGGTCTCCCAGCGTGGCGATATTGGTGCAAGTGACTAGGACAACCCACGTGTCTGTGGCTGTGTCCCAAAAAGTTTTGCACCTTCACCGTTGTTCTCGACGTCGATCGCACCTACTCCGTCGCCCAACACCCTCCACAGCGGCGACCCTCAAAATGGCGGAACACGATCTCTCCAAAACGATAATCCCCTACCTGGATCGCCACTTATCCTTTCCTCTCCTCGCCCATCTCGTAGACATATCGCTCTTCCCCGTCGAGGAGGTCCAGGCTGCCCAATATGAGCTGGCGAAGGGAACGAACATGTTCGATTATGCTGTTAGTCTGTTTGAGCAGATACATCCGGATCAGGAGGTCCCGGCAGGTGAGTTGTGTGTGGTATGTTGTGGAGGGGCTGGGCTGATGGCGACTAGAATTCGACGAAAAGCGGACCAATGCCGTCTCGACCCATGAGCGCCTGCAGCAGGAGGCGCAGGCCGTCCTGGATGTCATTGAAAACCCAGACGTCGCGCAAGCGCTGCGTCAGGACAAGAACCAGAACCTACAATACCTCAAGGATAACTACAACGTGAGCACCATCCAACACACACCAATCGACCCATACCTGACCAACTCCCCAGCTCACCCTAGACCAAATCACCGCCCTGTACAACTTCGGCCAGTTCCAGTATTCGTACGGGAACTACAGCGGTGCAGCGGACTACCTATACCATTTCCGGGTGCTCTCCACCGACAACGACCTGAACACCTCCGCGCACTGGGGCAAACTCGCCTCCGACATCCTCACCGGGCGCTGGGACGTCGCCCTCGAGGAGCTCAACACCCTGCGCGACGCCATCGACTCCCGCGCCCCCGCCTCCATCCTCGTCCCCTCCGCCGCCAGCGCCTCCTCCGCCCCCGAACCCGCCCTCGTCCAGCTGCACTCGCGCACCTGGCTCGCACACTGGTGCCTCTTCGTCTACTTCAACCACCCGCAGGGCCGCACGCTCCTCCTCGAGACCTTCCTCTCCCCGACCTACCTCAACACCATCCAGACGTCGTGTCCGTGGGTCCTGCGCTACCTCGCGACCGCCGCCATCCTCTCCCGCAAGTCCGCGTCCCAGCCTGCGAGTGCTGCGGCGCCGGTGTCGACTAGGGTGAGGAACGCGATTAGGGAGGTGGTCAAGGTTATACAGACGGAGGAGTATCAGTACCAGGATCCTGTGACGTCGTTCTTGAAGGAGCTGTACATCGAGTTCGACTTTGAGGCGGCGCAAAGGGAGCTGACGCTGGCGGAGAAGGTCGTGGGGGATGATTTCTTCCTGGGAGAGTTCAGGGAGGAGTTCTTGGACAATGCGCGGTATCTGATCAGCGAAGCCTACTGCAGGATTCATCAAAAGATAGACATTGGGTACGTCCCGCTCGCGCGTTATCCTCCCGCCTGCAACTGACGTTTCAACCCGTAGTGACCTCTCCGAACGTCTGAACCTATCACGTGATGAAGGCGAAAAATGGATCGTGAACCTGATTCGGGAGACACGGATGGGTGCCGATGCTAAGATCGATTTGGAAAAGGTACGCTTACTTTCCACCCTCCTCCTAGCCTCATAGTCTGATGTAATTCGCGCAGAACGTCATCGAGATCAACCGTCCGCCACTGCCCATCTACCAGACCGTCATCGAGAAGACTCGGGGGCTGGCATTGCGGACACAGGCTCTGGGTGTGGCTGTGGGCCGGACGGCGCAGCAGGGTGGTGGTGGAGGTGGTGGTGGTGGCGTTGCAAAATCTGAGGCTCAGGCACCCACTGTCGCTGTCAAGTGATCTTTTTGTGTAATGCGATGCCTTTATTGGATGTGTCTAAGAACTCGCTAAGCATTCTCTCTATGAATACTTCAAGCAAATTTTGAGGCGCATACAGTCCTAAACAGACCACCCTCGCCCAGCAAAAGTACAATTACAACTTCTCTGGCAGACGTGGCTTAAGCTCGCTTTGGATCTGGCTTCTTAGCGATATCCTCGTCGTCGGGATACAGCTATGAGAATTGATATCAGCTCATCGTTTACCCCCAGGAGTTCCAGAACTTGTCTGACCTTTCCAGGATTGAACAGCCCCAGAGGGTCGATCGTCCGTTTGATCGTCTTCATGAGCTCCACAGTCCCCACACCCAATTCCTCAACAAGGTAACCCTTCTTACCAACGCCAACCCCATGTTCTCCCGTACCTACACACCCCGACGTCAGGTCTCCGTTCCCGAAGGTGTCGTGATGAAGAAAGAGAACTCACATGTCCCATCGAGGGCAATGGCGCGGTGGACCATCCGGTCCACCGCCTCCCTGACCTTCTTATACTCTTCATCGTCACGGAACAACAGCTGCGCATGGAAGTTCCCGTCCCCGACGTGTCCAACGATCGTCGCTACGATACCCAGCCGCGCCATATCCTTCTTCGTCTCATACACCAGCTCCGGCAGCTTCGACACCGGGACACTACCCCACCCAATTACACACATCAGCTCCCCACGTAACCCTAACACAAAACACAGCGCACGGAGCACTCACCAAACGTCCGTCGGGCACGCACTCGCCCCCTCCAAAAGCGCCATCCCCGCATAATGCGCATTCTTCCGATCCTGCCACAGATCCTCCGCCTCCTTCTTACTCCGCGCCAGCTCGAACCCCGTCCCGCCATGCTTCTCCACGATCTGCTGCACCACCCGCGCGGTGTCGAGGAGGGAGGCCTGTGTGGGTCCTTGGAACTTGAAGAAGAGGCTGTCTTTTTCGGGCCACTTGCGGCGGGACATGCCGAATTTGTTGGTGGCGGCCATGAAGCGGTCGTCGACGAGCTCGACGCATTCTGCGGGAGGGGTTTGGGGCGTGCGTTAGATGGGAAAGGGTATGGGAGGAGAGGGGGAGGGGGGAAGGGCTTACGGATGCCGACGCCTTGGTTCATCACTTCGATCGAGGCTTCTGTGGCCCTGCGTACGTCGGGGAATTGAACGACGGCGATAGTAGTAGGCAAGACAGGGGCCAGGCGGATCGTCACTGTACTTCCGTAAGCCTCGGACGGACGTTATGCGAGAGAGCCACCCAACACACCTTCCGTTACGATTCCGAGCGTTCCCTCAGCCCCGATGAAGAGCTTGGTGGTGTCGAATCCTGCTGAGGACTTTCTCGATCTGCGGCGCGTCTTGATGACTTCGCCAGAGGGGAGGACGACGGTCTGTGGGGATCAGACCTTGGTATACTTAGAGTCTGGATTGGGGGGTACGTACTGCGTTGAGGAACCATTCGGCCTTGGCTGTGCCGTATCGTACTGCGTTAGCTGGGGAAGGTTAGCTGTGAGCCCGGCGTCGATATGGGAATGTGATAGAACGTACTTCCGGAACATCCGGTGCTGAGCATGCCACCGATAGTCGCGCCAGGTCCAGGGTCAAGCTAGTTTACGTGGTCATCGGGTTAGTTTCTATTTCGCGAAGAGGGAATGCGACGTACTGGGAAGAACAGCGGTATGCCTGCGCATTTCGCATGAAGTTAGTTTTGGTAGTGGTTAAATTACAAGCGAGGTGCTTGCCTTTCTCCTTCAAGGTATCGTTTATGTCCATCCATCTAGCTCCGGGCTGGCACACGAGGTCAGAGTCCGCCTCTAAATTGAGGATGTCAAGTGTCGGGTCGTCATATGATACATTAAAGTATTCACCGTGTATCTCCAGAATGCGGTCCATGCCAGACAGATCAACGCAAATTCCTCCCACAAGGTGCTATCAGATCGGATAAGTATCTTCTCCCACAGCCCCAGAATGTGTCATCTCACGCTGCGAACTTGTCCCTCCAAGCTCGTAGCACCAGAATACGGAATGACCGGCATCCTGTACTTCGTAGCAATCCTGACCATCTCTACCACATCCTCCGTGGTATTCGGATAGAAAACAACACTGGGCAGACCCGAGCCTAAATCACGCACTTCAGATGCCATAACTTTTTGATTATACGAGCAACGATACATACCTGGCCGATAGTCGTAATCCGAGAATCCATGAATCCGCAAGTCCTCAGCATCGGTCGAAACAGTGTCTGGGTCAGGGAATGCGGCTCTGAGCGCCTCTATGGCCTGCTTAAACTCGTCCGGCGACCCAAATCGTGGTTCCTGACCGTCCCCGGTTCTCGCGGACGTCGAGTCTGCTTGGGTGCTTGCTATTTTGAACCCGACGAGGCCACTGGCGATGGAGGATATGACAAGGAGCACCCATGAAGAGCTCTTCCCCGCACTGCTGCTCGCGCCTGCTGACTGAGTGGGTCGACCAGCGTAATCGCCTGAGGAGTTCGTGGAATACTTCCGCCGCGCCGCTTCAGCCCCTATCAAAGCACGCAGTGGGGCGACGAAGAGCGGCCGCGCAGAGCAAAGAGAGAGCTGGCGGTGGCCACGTCGTGCGCATTCCTTCAGCAGCGAGGCCATCGTCGTGGATTCGTGGAATGAAGGAACCTAAGATCAAACTTTAACATGTTGCCTTGCAGGGCTTGAGAGGTGGTCTGAAGTCCCATCGGCCGGGCCGAGGTTGGACCGCGTGGTGGGATGAAGGAGCCAAGCCGATTTGGCTCTTTTGGCTTTGCGTAAGTCCGATTTCCGAATTACGCGTCTGATGTGTTGGCGGGTGTTTGGGTACCTTGTTGGGTACTGTAATGGGTTATGACCGATAACTGGCCGGGTGGGGGCTGAGAAATCGTGTCGTTCACTTGCACCTGGGACCCAGGCACTTGGGAATGGATGCATTTTCAGAGGTAGAGCGCGGGGGCGTTCCCAGTAGTTTCCGAGGACGTATGACATGGCCGATGGGTGCGGCTCGGACGTAATTGTGGCAATGATGTACTTAGGAAGGGCCCGTCACCTTCATACTAGCCTTATTCAAAGTTGGCCGAAGTCGAAGTCGAAGTCGCAGCTGAAGCCCAGTGAAAAGTCCGTCGGGCGGGAACGAGGAGATTCAAGCCAAACAGAGGTAATCAAGCGACATCGAAGCAGGC